TGATTCATCTAAGTGAGACTCAGAACTCACCATAGCAAAAGCTGAGTTGTATGATCTTATATTATTCAAATAGTTTCTTGATCGTTTTTTTGTTTCTTTTACATTTGATGTACAGTAGTCCCGTTGATAAGATTCTCCATAAACTCCGAATGTTGATAAGGGGCTAATTTTACCTTCCCCTTGTGACAACATAAGGAGAATGGATTTGTGTCCCTGCTAGTCTGTTCTGACTCGAAATTCAAAGATTTGCAGTAGTGACAAATCCAATTTAATGATCCCAATTCAAAAGAGTCGGTGTTTTTTTTAGGAACTTCCAGGGCACATTTTACACTATCACTGCTCTTTACTTTTTTAGTTCGATGTTTTTCTACGTGTGTTTTTGTTCTGTTTGTCTCTTTACGCCCAGTTAATGACTTTTTACCTTTTCTTTTTCTTTTTGTACTTTTTTCATCCTGGGTATTATGAGAAAGTTTTAAAACACTGTAATGACCCGAGTCAACATTGCCACTAAACATAAAGTCACACACTTCTTCGCCAGAACCAATGTCATAAGCCACAGTTTCTTCAGCAACTTCCCTGTGTACTCAAAATAAATAGTTAGGGTAACTTATTGCTCACTGATACATTGTAGTTCCACGTATCCAGCGTACTCGCCATCTCGGGAAAGTAAAGTTTGGTATTGGTGACGGTCAAACACTGATGTTGAGTAAGACTCATCGCCTACGATAAAACTTTTGTATTTTTCCCACTCTTTAACAATTTTCTGGACAACTTTCAAACGGATTTCCCTATGATTGTTCTGGTGGCCGTATAGAATAAATGATATTGATCCAAACAAACAGTTTCCGTCCCCTGCTATAGGTATAATTTCATGTTCCATACTCAAATATAAGCTCAATCAACACTTTCCTTCAGAAACACTTTCAGCAACACTTTCGCAGGAAAACTAACACATTATTCAAAAATACAAAATTGACAATAAAAAATACAAATACTGTTCAAATACATTTACAAATAATATATCGTGGTATACAACTTTAACAAATACACTTTTCCTTGAAAACTCAATCAACACATTCCTTCAGATACACTTTCTTTCAGCAACATTTTTGCAGGCAAACTCAAACATTATTCGAAAATACAAAATTGACACTAAAAAATACAAATAATGTTCATATACATTTACAAATAATACATTGTGGTACCGTATACAACTTTAACAAATTCACTTTTCCTTGTTTGAAATCGTGTGTACAGGAACTCCTAGATTAATAATTACATACTGAAAGTAAGGTTATAAAAATAATAACAAATCTAACAAATATTAAACAGCTGACATATGATTTACAATTATTAAATAAGCTGTAAATTATATTCTTCAATAAGAATTGTATTGACTCAACCTTTGAAGGGCTGTAGGTCTTAACCCTTAGAAAAGACGTGAATTCTAATGAAGTTCGGCAAATCTATGCATTATCCCCTTTAATTTGACACATAGATCTTGTGGATCGGTCCAGTAATTACTGAGAAAACAGTGTTTACAACTTAACTGTGTATTAAATATATAGATTCCATCCGATAATAAATTGTGGGTAAGTACTCTACAGAACTGTACCATTATCCTTCATTGGACACTCCATAAATCTTCATCAGACTCTGAATGTCGCCTAATTAACCCTGGCTTAGTAGATTCTCATCATAGTGTCACCCCCATAGTGTTAAATTGCTTGGTATTCACTTAGACCCTTAATTATCCTGGAATGTGCATGTAGAGTTTGTAAAAAACTAAGTCGAGTTTATTATTTATTGAAACACTTGAAGAAATATGTGTCCTCTGACTATGTTAAAACTGTCTACCTACTTTAGTCTATTTCAAAAAGCCTTTTCCTAAAGTCTCTTGCTCTGGGGAAATAGCCCTTCTGTGATAGAAGCACTTCTCGCCCAAAAGAAATTTATTAGAATAATGACCGATTCAGATTATAAAGATCACTGCAGACCACTTTTTATACAAGAAAAGATTTTAACTGTTGTAAATCTCTACATCCTTCATTCATTGCTTGCTTCACACAAAGAAAAATCTTAACAGTTTAACTCTTAATAGAAACGTACATAGCTATAATACAAGAAATTGTAATTCAATAGCTAGACCCTACCATCAATTCAATTATCAATTATTTAAGATGGGGACGCCACTATGTGCGTATTTTAACCCAAATATGAGTGAAGGATGAGTGTAGGATGAGTGGCGCGATCTTGTAGTCTTGTTAGTGACTAAGGCCGACATGTTCCTTAGACACAGCTGTTAATTAATAGCCCATACAGCTAATGGCAACTAAGGGACCTACAGTTTATTGTGGAATCCGAACCACATTTTTTCCTCGTAATTAACGAATTGGTCTAATTATTTAGGATAGTACTGCGGATAGTCGTAGTACTCACTAGTGCGGACGTTAATCCACACCAGGTAGCATCGCATCCACAGTGCATCCCTATAATTATCCACAATTCGTGACCTCCTAGTAGCTGGATTACAGGACGACGCCACCCGTCCCAGTCAATAGCTAGACCCTACCATTGGACCCTACACAAGGCTGAGCAAGGTGCTCAATTCTATTAAACAAGTTGGTGTAAAATTAATTAACAGGCTGCCTTTTTGAAGCCCATCTGGCTGATTTTGACCATTTCAAAATACCCCCACCGCAGCAAACCTAATAAGACTACGCAAATTTCCATTTTCCCAATTGGATATACACTAAAATGCCTCCTTAAACATATCACATTTATTCCCTATTTAAATAGAATTAGTTTAACGAGTACTTAGGTTTGCTGCAATAGGGAGGGTAAAAAAGTGTTTTTGTTGTAAAAAAATAGTTTTGTAAAAGATTAATGTATTTTCCAAATTTGATCAAAATATGTTCATAAACAAGCAAACTACAACAGCTAATTTATTCTCCATAAGAATAACATGATAATTTTAAATTTAAAACTTTTTGGAATTTTCTCCGTAATCATTAGGTCTATAATAACGCTTCAATATACTAAATTATTTGTTTTTTCAAGCTCTACAAAATGGTTCGGAAAGAAATTGTGAACTTTTGTGCTTTTCGGGTCAAAAATGGGGAAAAACTATTTTTACCCCATAAAACCCCGTTCCTATATAGTCTGATCATGCTGGTTCGCGAACTCGGATCATTTTTGCTAGAGTTATCGTGCTAACGGACACCCACATATCTATATATATAAAATCCAATGTATGTTTCTTTGTCCTTTATGGACTTCGAAACCGCTCGACAGATTGTAATGAAACTTTCAGGCATTATTAAGCAATATTCAAGGATGGTTAGTGTGAAGTTTGGTGCAGATCCGTCAGAAGGGCTCCGCCCCAGTGGCTCTGGAGTTTCCCATGATAACCTTATGAGTACTCATATTTAAATGGAATTAAAGAATCTGAACAGCTGGTTCAACTAAACAATTTGATTCTGTGATGTTCAATAGCATTAAAAAGTTAATAGGTTTACGAACAGGGTGCACCACTATTGTTTTTTTTTTTTACTTATGACAACAGCTAATTTGCAACCAAAAGGTGAGTGAGCGTAGCGAACTAACGTTAACCTGGAGGCGAGTGAGGGTAGCAAACAAGCTAATTAAACTGAAGGCAAGTGAGCGCAGCGAACGAGCTCCAACCTAAAGGTGAGTGAGCGCAGCGAACGAACTTCAACCGCAACGTGATTGAGCCATGCGAACGAGCTCATCTTGAAAATGAACGAGCATTTGACATAAAACCACATTACGACAAGACGATGTCTGTCGGGCCAGCTATATATATACAGGGTGTTTGGTAGCCAATGTCAAACACCTAAGGGATTATTTTAAGGGATTATTATTATTATGCATGAAGATTGTGATAAAAATACACAATTTGGATAGTTTTATCTCACTCCTACTTCCGGCAACAGCCATTTTTCCAAATTTCTTGACATTGCCTAATAAAATCTCATATTTCTCATTTTTTAGCCTACATAATGAGATTTTTAATTGGATTTTTACAATCGTCATTAAATTTTCTATCACAAAACGTATAGGCCTAATATGGTACAGCTTAACCCATTCAAAAGTTTGTAAATTCGACTTAAATAACAAATTATGAAAAATCAAAAAGAGGGCAGGGCGTTACAACTCGTTTAAGACATTTTTCAAATTTCCATACAAATCAAATTGTGTTAAAAACTGTCAAATACTATTACCGTTATACGATGACAATTCTAAAAATGCAATTGAAAATATCATTATGTAACATAGGTTAAAAGTTGAGAAATATGAGATTTTATTAGGCAATGTCAAGAATTTTAGAAAAATATAAAAATGGCTGTTGCTGGAAGTAGAAGTGAGATATAACTATCCGAATTGCGTATTTTTATCGCAATTCCTGTGCATAATAATGCCTTAAAATATTTGACACTGACTACCAAACACCCTGTATATATATATATACCTTAATTTATTTTATCTGTGATATTATATTGTGATTTTATCTTGTGAAAATTTCCAACTTGTAAAACTTTCAGTGCTCGCTGCTTGCCTGTAGGCCTATTATTTATTCAAGTATGCCGCCTACTGTGATTTACCTTATTTTAGCCTATAAGTTACTTAGTTACTTAATTTACTAGTGCATATATTATTTAGTAAGCCTGTCTGTATTATTTATATTTTATCTTATAGGTTACCCATTTATTGTACATGTAAACCTTAATTGATGTACCTTCATTGCACATATCTCTTTGATTACCTTGTTTACTATTTATTGACATGATCTATTGCATTTCATGTATAATGTTTAATGATCAAATAAATCTATCTATCTATCTAATTCACACCACTTAAAGGTTACTTACCTTAAAGGTTAAAGGTAACTTAATTGATGAATAAATAGGCTAACTTAAACATAAAAGTTAAACGATAAGTTACTTTACTAAGACTTTATTTTAATCATCAATACTTACTTGTTTACAAGTTTACCCAGCAGAAGTTGATGATTCATACAATTCAGGGTCTCTATTTTACTGAAATCAAAATACCAATGATTGTTAATTAGTCAATAGGCATAGCCTACCTTGTTTAAATTGTTAGCAGACAGTGATTTCAAAATGTTATAGTACGTGAATGACACACAAAATTATTCCTTGAACCAAAGAGCTCAACCTGCTCAATTGTATATTTTATGGTAATGGAAAACAAGTTGAAAAGTGTCATTGTCTTGGTCTTGCAACTTATTGGAACTGACATGACATCAAACATTTTCAAGGTTAACGCAGTTGAAGATTAGAGGTTAACCAGCATGATTTATTAACTCATGGTTGGTTTTACCAATTATTTTTAGATATTACTAGTGGCTTGTAGGGGCAGTAGCCCCTATGTATATATTGTAGTAATTATTTTGTACAAATTATTAGTCCCATGGGTTACCCTACCTTGATTATCGTTTAACATTATTGTATATTATAATATGTATAATAGTTATTACATACCTGCATAATGCATTTTGAGGTCTGCTCTGTTAAAAATAAAAATTACAAAGGATTTTTCATGCGGTGTGTTTATAGTATAAACTTTCTAATCATAATACAACTAAGGATATTTTTCAATGATAATCTTCATGACTATTAATTAAATGTATATACATTTCTTTGAATATAGACAAATTCACTTAGATAAAATACATGGAGATAAATTTTTCAAATAAATGCCAATTTTTGTGAAAATTTTCCTTGTAAACTTAAACGGCATATTAGGATCTGTGGATATTAGTATTATTTTTGGCATGGAAAATACGTTTCCTTTGCCTATTCCAGTAATTACTACTAACTTTACACTTTTTCCAGTAATACCTAACACAACCAATCGTACTCCATTAACTAATCCAGACCCTAGCTTCATATTTCTAATGAGCATCACTATTGAACCAACTTTTAAAACTAATTTGTGTGGTGGCATTCCAGATCGTGCAATTAAATTAATACGAGAGCACGCCCCGTGGTCGAAAAATCGACCAAAAGTATGTTTTGTGCAAACTTCTCTATTTTCACCCCACACTGTTAAATAAAACATGTGATTGGAATGTCTCCTATTTGTTTTGATTTTCTGTTTACATTTTGTTGTTATTTCGTCATCGCCATAGCAACCCATAAAACCCATGTTAATTTTTAAAAATTTCAAATTCATTTTTTGTGCTTATTTTTGTGCCTATTTTAGTTTATAAAGGGATTCTGCACACCTACAGGAAAATAGCTTTCTTACGGTATGCGTAGATTTTCCGTACGATACACACGAGCTGAGAAAAAAGGTTTTAAAGAAACATACTTGCCTATTAATATATAGATAGATAGTCAATTGGTAGGTTCAACCTCTCTTAAGGGTTAGTATACATTTTACAGTGCATATTACATATTACCATATGCTTTAAATAAAGTTAAACCACATGTTTTAATGTAAACAAAGCAAACATGACCTAGATTCCCATGTTATTTAAATGTGAATTATTTTATTCTGTCACAACCTTTTGGTGCATAATTAAGAAAAATGAATAATTTTCCCCAAAATTTCATGCCCAGACCTTTAAAATGAGACCCCTCCCAGCTTTCTACGCCCTCCGGTTCGCTCACAATTTCATTGTATAAAATTTTGGGCTTACGGAATTAGATATATAGATCTTTTTGGCTATCATAGTCAATGGTATTATCTGTATGAATCCAGCTGATGTGAATTTATAAAGTTGATAAAAATTTTGCTCTTCAATTTTCAGTAATTATTAGTGAATAATTTTTAAATTAGCTTTTAAACAGTGTTTCAAAAAGATCTTTAAGAAGAGAGGTTTTCTACAAATAAGTATTTTATACATTATACCTCTGCTCTATATCATTAATAATTCACAGAACTTAAAATCATCTAACCTCAAATATTCATTTTATTTGTTTATAATCCTAGGCTACTGATTTCAAAATATTTTTTCCTACAGTCACCCGACAAAGTTGGCTTCCTTGTACTGTTTATAGTACAGAAAGCTGCTAATTGCTGCATATTTATACTTTGCCGTACGGTTTATACTTTGCCGTATGGTTTATACTTTGCCGCACATCAGGATTCCAACGAAACAACACAAAACAGCGTGGTTCCATTATGCACGTAATCCGTGTACGCTTGGAAATAGGTTGGCAACACTTAAAGATAATTATACTATGAGCAGCTGATTGACTATTATAACTACGATTTAACCTGTCATTTCGTGTTTACAGTTTTGGTATTTCTGAACTTTCTGGACTTTTCTTTTAAACGTTTATAAAACCTTCCTACGATCTTAATAAACAAGAAAATACCTTTTAAGCATTTTTTTTAGGCGCGGAAACCACTTCAAATTACAAAAACATATGGAACTATATTCTCAAAACGCGGAGCACATTTCTTGCCGAGGAAAAATAGCGGAGTGATATGGACCGCGGGTACTACTTTCTCTAGGGCACCATTTGTGTTGCCAGCTGAACCTAAAAACGTGTTGCATAGTGTTTGAAAGACTAATTATTTATATGCTTTATAGTGACTGTAGGAAAAATATAATGTGTAACACGAGTGAAAAAGGCCTTTGCTGCACTCGAGATCATTCCACACTCGCCTGCGGCTCGTGCGTAAACATTGCTCTCGTGTGCAGCAAAGTGCCACTTTCACCACTAGTTACACAAATAACTATTTCCTACAGTCACCCGACAAAGTTGGCTTCCTTGTACTGTTTATAGTACAGAAAGCTGCTAATTGCTGCATATTTATACTTTGTCGTACAGTTTATACTTTGGCGCACATCAGGATTCCAACGAAACGACACAAAGCAGCTTGGTTCTATTATGCACGTAATCCGTGTACGCTTGGAAATAGGTTGGCAACACTTGAAGATAATAATACTATGAGCAGCTGATTGACTATTACTACGATTTAACCTGTCATTTCGTGTTTATCGTTTTGGTATTTCTGAACTTTCTGGACTTTTCTTTTAACCCTAGCAGTGGCCAATGTTAGAAGTGGGGAATGGCCAACCCATTTTGGCGATTTTGCAGACCTTTTTTTAAAAATCTGTCAAAATTACAAATATGGACTCAACCTATCAATGTTTGTATTCATTTTATTCAGAAAAAGCAGGAGAATCTGAATATATAAATAAAAATTGAATCTGAGTTGGTAACTTTTTTGAAAAATAAAAAAAAATCATAAAAAATTCAAAAATTCTGATTGAAATTTCAAAAGTAAAGTCTTGTTATTACTACAGTATAATTTTCAGACCAAAACCATTATATACATTTTGTAGTAAATTCAAATCCCTACATAGAAATGTATAACACATGGGGAAAATATTTTTTTTTACAAATGTTATGTAAGAAAATGAAGAAAATTCAAATTTTGTCGCATAAGACGAATAATTAGTAACTCGGAGATAACTCATGTAAGGTAATTAGTGATAATAATATAGTACACATATTCTTGTAGGTTATAAACTAAGGAATACAAATATGTCACATTGTAGGCAGTAAAAAAATTTTGATTACCCGTTTATGATACAAAAAACTAAAAATTTACAGTTTACATATAAAAAAATTCAAAGACATTTTTGTAAAAAAATTTTTTACAGATTTTTGTAGGCCAAACATATTACAAAATGTTCTAGTACATTCAATTCTCTTTATAGAAATGTATAACACATGGGGAAAATATTTTTATTTACATGTGTTATGTAAGAAAATACGAAAAATCTCAAGGTTTGTCACGTAAGACGAATAATTAGTAACTCGGAGATAGCTCATGTAAGGTAATTAGTGATAGTAATATAGTACACATATTCTTGTAAGTTATAAACTAAGGAATACAAATATGTCAAATTGTAGGCAGTAAAAAAATTTTGATTACCCGTTTATGATACAAAAAAACTAAAGATTTGCCGTTTATGTAAAAAGAAATTCAGATATTAGACTTTCCAGTAGGCTTATATTCATGCATAAAGATTACTGTTAGTCCTAAAACACAAAAACATTACTAAAAAAAAACATTACATAACTACAAAATCCGAAATTAGAATGATTCCCAAGATATTCGCCGAACAATATTTACTTTCAAAACATAAGTCAGCTGATCCGCACAAAACAAACAGAGAAACTTGGTCAGATGGCAATTTTCTTTTGTTGCTGACAGAACACAGAAATTATACAGTGATCAGGGCTGCCATTTCTCAACACTAAATTATTCTACGTTTCCTACACTACAAAAGGATATTATATTTGAATAGTTATAAATATTCCATTATATATATATTTCGACTTTAGAAATGGTCCTGGCGGGACCATTGGCCATTTGTTAATTTTTGTAAAATTACGTGTTTTCCAAAAATCATATGTTCTTTGCTATCAATGTATTGATAAAATAATCTATGCCAAAATATTCAGCAACTCTACTGCTATCTAGTGGTATAACTCGCATCGAGATAGGGAAAAAACTAACCTCGCTATGATTTTCTAAACTTTATGTGTTTAGCGGTTACGCAACACTACAAGTGGAAGTAGATTCGCGCGGAAATTTTCATTCAAATTTAAATTGCAATTACGTTGACATATTGACGCTAGAAGGTTCGTTTATATAATAAAATGAAAGTTTAGAATGTCATCTTTCGAGTGGTATATGAATTATCCACTTTAAAGATAATTATCAATTAGTTTTTAGCGTTAAAAAATGTTTGGACATAAATGGTCCCGGCGGGACCAAGGCCATTCTAAGGGTGCACGGTGAAATGGTCCCGCCAGGACCATTGGCCACTGCTAGGGTTAAACGTTTATAAAACATTCCTACGATCTTAATAAACAAGAAAATACCTTTAAAGCATTTTTTTTTATGCGCGGAAACAACTTCAAATTACAAAAACATACGGAACTTATTCTCAAGTCGCGGAGCACATTTCTTGCCGAGGAAAAATAGCAGAGTGATACGGACCGGGTACTACTTTCTCTAGGGCACCTATTCGTGTTGCCAGCTGAACCTGAAAACGTGTTGTATACATTCTTAGAATAAGAACATATTCTTCTCAAATATAGCAGAAAATACCCTTGACCAAAATAGAGCAATCGTTATAGACCCTGAAACAGTGCTGAATGGAGAGGAACCTGTCTGTCCAATACACCTTACCTTAACTTCAACATCCTATAAAGAAGTTGAA